AACCGGCCAGACTCAGTGACTGGAGGAGATTCAGTGGTCAGTATGTACAGGCTCGACCCCGGGTGACGTGTAAACGTGGCCAAGTGTCGGCCTGTCCGAGCCTCAGTGCAGTGTGTCACCCGCTGACTCGCAGGAGTGAACTGGTGCACTCCCCCATCCTGTAGGTCAGGACCACTCACCAAGTTTGTGGAGAACGAAGGGAGGTAAAGACCAGACAGGGTGCCTGAGGGAGCCGCCGGACACGGGAGGACTGTGGAGAAGTGAGACAGGACAGGACCCCCAGAGGGATCAGCCAGAGACACCGCAACCGGCCGACCAAGCAGCATGAGTGTGGTGCGGTCTCGAAAGAAGGAGCGAGAAGCCCCAGAGTCAAGGGTGAAGGTGAGGGAGGCCGAAGCCGACGCAGTACCTGAGAGAGGAGACTCACCAGCACCTGAAGACGCAGACGCACTAGCACCTAGAGCAGCAGCCTCGCAAGCACCTGGGGCAGCAGCCTCACCAGTACCTAGAGCAGCAGTCTCAATGCCTGGATCGGGCGGGAAAGACCGGTAACAGTCACCCTCATCACTAATAATCACAGCATACATGGCAGAAAGAATAGCATCAAAGTCAAGGTCAAAGATAGCAACTCCCGCCCTAGACAGCTCGCCCCAGCAAGGGATCTCAGTGGCCTCAGGGAACTGGTGATGCCACGCGTCCGTCAGGCGGCCAAAGCAGCGCTGGGTGGGGTGCGCACCCCCACACTGCTCACCCGCGCGGTCACCTGTGCGCAGAACGTAGGTGGACGGACCAGTACCCCCACCCCGCTGGCGTGCAGTGTACCACTCACGGAGCTGCTGAGGGGACAGGGTCTCACGACCTCGCTGCTGCTGCTGGCGCGGACCACCACCGGAGCCACTCCTTTGCATAGAACCGCGACCAGCTCCACCGCCACCTCCGCCACCTCCGCCGCCTCCGCCACCGCCGCCGCCTCCGCCACCACCGCCGCCTCCGCTCCCTCCGACACCACACCACCGCCTCCGCCTACACTGCTGCCACCAGTACCCCCACCCCCGCCACCACTCCCACAACCACCCCCACCCCCTCCGCCGCCTCCACCACCGCCTCCACCGCCCCCACCCGCTCCTCCAGCGCCCTTGCCCCCCTTGCCCTTGCCTGCGCGGTGCTTCCCCGAAGGGGCAGACACAGCGTCCACCGACTCAAAACCAACGAGGTCGGCCGCAGCAGCAGAAGCAACAGAGGGCAAGAGGGGGGAGGGAGAACACCCCTCAAAGACAGGGGTGCGGGGGTCACCACGAGAGGCCCCTACAGCGACTATGAACTTCTCCGCTGCAAGGAGGGCCTTCTAGAGGAGGTCAACGGTGAGAGTGGTGGGGCACACTGCGAGGAAGTGGTCCCTGACTACGCGAAGGGAGTCAGGGAGCCGAGTGACTATGTAGTAGAGGGTGATATACATGGGGGGGCGGGGGGGGGGGGGTTCTTGGCGCAGAAATCAGCAGGAAGCGCAGCGCCGTAGCGAGTGTCACTAGTGCCGAGGTGCGTAATGTGGTCAGCGACTGTGGGAAAGGCAGCAAGGTCAGGGACGAGGTACGGTAGCATGAGACGGCTCAGTGCAGCAGTGGCAGGGGAGGATTAGCGTGCAACTACAGCGTCGTACAAGGTCTGAGCACTCTTGTACTGACTAAAGTGCGCATGCTCAGAGGTAGGGAGGTGGCGATGCACAGCAAGACGTGCAGCAGCATCGCGCGTGGCCCACTGGGAGCGAACATTGGCGTCAGCATCAGCAGCAGGGGCAGGGGAGGCACCAGAGGTGAGGTCAAAGAGGGAGAGACCGTCTGCCCTATCGCACTGTAAGAAAAGCTGCAGGTCATCTATCCAGACGTCAAAGTCAATGGCCCGACCCTCAGCGTCAAAAGCCAGGACACTAGGGGTAGCCATGACAACAGTAGACTAGCAGCGCAAACAGTAGGGTAAGGGTAGTGCAGTGACAGAGGCGCTACTCTTACCGGACAGGGCTGCTCGGGTGGCTCGGCGGTGTGGGCGGCTCAGCTGTAGGGCGGCTCTGCTGCTGGGCGGCTCGGCGGCACGGCGGCTCGGCTGCACGGCGGCTCGGCTGCTGGGCGGCTCGGCGGCTCGGCTGCAGGGCGGCTCGGCGGCTCGGCTGCTCGGCGGCTCGGCTGCTCGGCGGCTGGGCGGCCGGCGGCTGGGCGGCCGGCGGCTCGGCTGCAGGGCGGCTCGGCTGCAGGGCGGCTTGGCGGTGCGGCTGCAGGGCGGCACAGCGGTCGGTTGCTCGGCTGGGTGAGGCGGCTCGGGCGGCGGGCGGCGCTGCAGCATGTGACGGCGCCTGCGCCGTAGTGGTGGCGGCTGGGCCGCTGGTAAGGGCGGCGGGGCCGCAGGTGAGGGCGGCGGGGCCGCAGGTGAGGGCGGTGGGGCCGCAGGTAAGGGCGGCGGGGCCGCAGGTAAGGGCGGCGGTGCCGAAGGTAGGTGGCGGGGCCGCAGGTAAGGGCGGGGCCGCAGGTAGGTGGCGGGGCCGCAGGTAGGTGGCGGAGCCGTAGGTAAGGGCGGGGCCGCAGGTAGGTGGCGGGGCCGCAGGTAGGTGGCGGGGCCGCAGGTAGGTGGCGGGGCCGCAGGTAAGGGCGGGGCCGCAGGTAAGGGCGGGGCCGCAGGTAAGGGCGGCGGGACCGCAGGTAGGTGGCGGGGCCGCAGGTAAGGGCGGTGTCAGGGCCGTAGGGCGGCGCGAGGGCCGCAGGGTAGGCGCCGAGGCCGCAGGGCGGCGGATCGGGGCCGGGAAAGGGCGGCGCGCAGGCCGCGGGGTAGGCGGCGAGGCCGCAGGGCGGCGGGTCGGGGCCAGGAAGGGCGGCGCGCGGGCCACAGGGTGGGCGACGAGGCCGCAAGGCGGCGGATTGGGGCCGGGAAAGGGCGGCGCGCGGGCCGCGGGGTAGGCGACGAGGCCGAAGGGCAGCGCGAGGGCCGCGAGGTAGGCGATGGGGCCGCTAGGGCGGCGCGACTGGGTCGAGAAAGGGGAGCGCGACTCGGGCTAGGGCTGAGCGCGCTCCGGGCAGGAAAAAAATTTCGACTTGGTGGGCCCTAGGAACAGTTCTCACGAGGGAACCTGCTTTATACCGTGAGAAAACTGAAACGAGTATGAATGAACTATGAAAGAAGTGGGTACAAGTACTAACCCTAATTGGGTTGTACCCCCTTGGGATACCCCACTACAGCCTACACAAAAGCATAAGCTATAATGTTCTGACATGAGCAACCAGACTGACGAAGTGCTCCATGTAGAACCATCCGAGGGTTATAAGGCGGAAAAACGTTCTCTGTTTTTTAATATCACGAGCCTCGTACTGCTGCATCTATTATCACAGTGTGAGCAGCTATTTGTCAACTGTCGGTCTCCCTTGTAACTCTGGTGCGATCGTTCTCTGCACAAACATTCGTGTAGCTATATTTCATACGATGGCTTTGGAGCTCATTGGGGCTAATGCTTCAGTCAGTGTGGCCCACAATTACAATACACCGCACTCAATCGGCTTGTTTTACGCACTCAATTTATCAGAGTGGACCATCACCAAGTTTGTGTTATATTGATTCACATCTTGATAGTGGCCGGGCCAACCTTATATCTTGATGTTCTTGCGCTTCACTCACTCGCGTGAGAGGCCCATGTGAGGCACGACATTATTTTTTGCCATTATTCGATTGTGGCTCTTCTTTAGTAAGTGTAAGGAACTATAATTTATTATTGTACCCGCGCTTTAGCGAGTACAACCCGAGGGCCAAGCGTCCAATGGTTCGGCCTACATTTCCACACCCAATCTATTCCCCAGTCGCCTCCGCACCAATCGCAACCTTTTGCGACCCATCTTCGCCCAACCTTCCCGCCTAGCTAAAATTTCCCCTATCTAGTCCCGCTATTTTCCTTGTATTGTCACTCAGTAATTTCACATTCTCGTTATTCGTTATCTTGCGCACTCTCTAAGTTCATGTATAACAGTAAGCATGTTTGTAGCTGTTTGTTACATTCCTGGTTACTGGCTGGAATTTCAGGGATAAGTGGTCCACTGGACGTTCCCTCAGTTTGCGGTTGTCAAATGAGAGTGATCTGCTGGTAGCCCCGCAGGTCACATCGTGGGCAAGTACTGACGTCTGAACGTTAGGGCGTGTTACATTTTCGATTTTTTCGTACGGTTCGGATGATTACCACTCTGAAACGTACTGAAACCCACTTGAAATGAACCACTTTCAACCGTTCGGACGGTTCGGCGCGTTCGAAACAATCGAAAATGTAACACGCCCTTACGTACTGGAAGGCAAGATTAGGGATCGTTCAAGGTAACATAGCCCCCTTCCATTTTTGAGATTCCGGTTGACCAAATGGAGATGCGAATAGCTTCTAGATGCTTGCGCGGACGCGGGGAGTATATCGTACATCACGCTCATCGTGTGTCCGCAACACACGCACCGCCTCCTCGTGGAAAATCGTGAGCCCAAGTTACCAACTCACTATCTATCAACTAGTTCAGTATATTTACTGGGATCCTGCGTATATCACGGTCGCATACCGTATCTATCCCGCTTCAAGGGAATCACACAGCAGTCCCTGCTCCGCCGCGCTAGTTCGCGAGCATCACATCCAGACTCTGAGAAGTGAACGGCAACTAAGCTCCCCTCGACACAATCTGTGCTTCTAAGTACCGCTGCTTCCCTCCATGGCGCTTACTACAAGCGCCACGGCCTCTCACCTCCTCCTGCTCCTCCTCGTGCCGTTTCTCACCTCCCCTGCCGCCGCTTATTGCCTCGCAGCCTCTCACTCCGCCCACCACGCCGCGTCGCAGCAACCAGCGCCGCCAGGTCAGCCAGTGCCAGTTCCACAGCGGCGCGGGGTTTCACGGCTGGGGCTTCGGGTGTCTCCTCCGCTCATTGCGCCCGTTGTACGGCAAAGAACCGTTGCCCGCTCATTGCAAAGAACCGGCGGTGGCGCAGGCCGTAGTGGCATGGGGAACAGGCGCTGGTCATTGCTGAGGGAAGCGATCAGAGGCCAAAACTCTGGCGTGGCGAGTCCCGTGCTGGCAGAATCGCACTGTGAGTCAATGCCGCTGCCCTGCTGCGGCTGCAGTGGGCCGGCGATGCTGTTGCTGTTGCGTCTGCCGCTGCCTGCTGCTGCCACCGCCACCGCCCACCGCCACTACCACTACCCCACTTCCCGTCCATCCCCCCGTCCCCCCTCCTTCCAACCCCTCCCTCGCTCCTCCTCCCCTTCCGCTTCCCTGGTTGCAACCAGAAGCATGGCTCGCTCGTTATTCCTGTCCCCATTGTCCCCATCACCCAACTGGTTGGGCCCATTTGCTGGCAGTGGTCGCGCTGCTGCAGCTGCAGCAGGCGTGGGGCGCATGGGCGGGCAACAGCAACGCCAGCACGGTGTGCTCTGCATGGGCTGGCGTCACGTGCAGCCCCAAGGGCCTAGTCGTTGCGCTGTGAGTCACGTGCAGTGCAGCATTCGAGAGGGCATCTGGCTGCCCTGTGAGTTACATCTGTGATTCTTGTAACGTGCAGTGCCTTGTTTTGAGGATCTTGAGGGAATCTGGTCTCCTTGTGTGCTACACCAAGAGGGGGCGCCTTGGTGGTGATGGGGGTGCATTTGGGACGCCAATGTCCCTGAATGCACGATTTTCATGTCAATGTTCTTGTCAAGACCTGACTTGTCTTTGCGTGCATGTGTGTGCGTGCGCGCGCGCGTGTGTGTGTGTGTGTGCGTGCGTGCGTGCTCGCACGTGTGTGTGTGTGTGTGTGTGTGTGTGTGTGTGTGCGTGCGTGCGTGCGTGCTCGCACATGCATGCGTGCATGTATGTGCACAAGCGTGTCTGGCTATGCGTGCATGCATGTGTGAGCTTGAATGCATGGATCTGCGCCTGTGCATATCAATACATGTGTGTACTATTCTCAGGGATACAAGGGCCCTTCCCATTGATCCTCCCCCAAGTGGTTCCATACCTGCCTCCATCACGAATCTCGCCACTCTCCAATATCTGTCCGTCCTGTCACGACGACCCACACTTTTCTCCCTTCGCACCACCCATTCTCTTCTTCCCCACCCACCTGTCAATTCCCCCTACCATCCACCCTTCTCTCCACGCGCTAGGATATCCTCACCACCACCACCCGCCTTCCCGATCTTCATAGACTTGCTTCCCCCCGCCTGCCGCTCGCCCCTCGCTGACACTGTCGCTGCCATGGCTCTTGTGTGATTTCTACTGAGTTAACGCTTCAACAGTCAAAACACAGTGCCCTCCCAAGTCTCTCCTTCCGCCTGCCCGCCCGTCAAACCCTCCTCCTGCCCGTCACTTAATTCGCCTTCCTTCCATCCACCTGCCATTTTCCATGTAACCCATCCGCCTTCCTGCTTGCTTTCCCGTCCGCACAGCGATCTCAGCTATGTTGATCTGGAGGGGCCCATTCCATCCCTTGCCAGCCTCACCCGGCTCACCCACCTGTACGTGCCTTTCCCATGGGTTTCAATCAACACCCTTTCTACCGTATGCCTTTCTCCCATTGCGCGCTTACCTCCCTTAGGCCCCACAACCCCTGACATTCAACCCAACCCAACCCCGCAAGTTACCCCCTTACCCTGTGTGCATCCACGCATTGTCTGTGACAATCCAGTCCATCCATCCACCCCTATTGCCCGTGTGCTGCTGTCCCTCAGATTCATAGGAACAGATGGTTGCAGGCTGACTGGCACTCTAGACGGACTCTCCTGGCTCACCTCCCTTCGCCGCCTGCGCACGCTGTACGCCCTGCATTCATTAATTCATTCATGCATTGCATGCCCTGCCTGCATACATACGCCCACGCGCATGCGCACACACCCTCACACGCACAACCCACCCCCCCTCTCCTCCAACCCCCCCCAAACACACACACGCAGTTCACACAAACTGTTGCCATTCACACTTCACACATGGTCCCGCCCGCATGGCCCACCCACCGGAAGATACTAAAAGTCTCAGTGGTGCACACTCTTCACGTTCTACATATTTTCGCATCCATCCCTGCTTCCGTTGTATGCTTACTTACTCATTCCACTCGTGCTCTCTTCTCTCCTCTTGTGCTCCCTTGCTCCAGCCATTCTTCCCATCCCGTATACGCTCGCCCATTTCACACGCTCTCCCTTCCCTCAATCCACTTTACAGGCTTCCTCTTACCTCCCTGAGTATGCTCATTCTCTCCCCCTCTGCATGCTCACTCGCTCTCCTCTCTCTGTGCGCCTGCCACCCACCACCAGCGGTCTCCTTGACCTGTCGAGGTTCACAGGGGACTTGTCCTTCCTTGCAATACTATCCCGATTGGAAAGCCTTCAGGACTTGTAAGCGCCAAAGCATAATCCAGCAGTACAGACAGTCTGTCTTCATGCCGTCTCACACTGTGCTTTCATACACGTTTCTTCCCTCCTTCCTCCCGTGCTCCCGCAACTCACCTGTTGTGCCTGTATTCACCTGTTGTGCCTGTATTCACCTGTTGTGCCTGTATTCACCTGTTGTGCCTATATTCACCTGTTGTGCCTGTATTCACCTGTTGTGCCTGTATTCACCTGTTGTGCCTGTATTCACCTGTTGTGCCTGTATTCACCTGTTGTGCCTGTATTCACCTGTTGTGCCTGTATTCACCTGTTGTGCCTGTATTCACCTGTTGTGCCTGTATTCACCTGTTGTGCCTGTATTCACCTGTTGTGCCTGTATTCACCTGTTGTGCCTGTATTCACCTGTTGTGCCTGTTTTCACCTGTTGTGCCTGTATTCACCTGTCCGCACACCCGGGCGATGGTGGTGGCAGGCTATTGAGTAGCGCCCACTCACCCCTTCCCTACCCGTTGTGCTCTCCACTTCTCTTTTGCCTGTCCGCAGGACAATTATTAGCCTCTCGAATGCAACAGGGGAGATTCCCAGGGAGATTCGATACTTGACTAACCTCACTGCCCTGTAAGCTGCATTGCGCATGACTGCACTGATTGTACCCTTTGGCACGTAACATCTCCTCCCTTCGCTCGCACTACGTACTGTGCACTCTGTTGCCCTCCACATGCCACTCCTTGCACTATGCACTATGCAATGTGCAGTGTGTAGTATGCAGTGCGCTATGCACTGTGGACTGTGCACTATGCATGGATGCACTATGCACACGCCACATCTTTCTTCCCCTTGCATACAATTTGCCGTGCAGTGACGTGTCATTCCTTCGTGCTTTGGACTTCCCCAAGTGGGTCACTCAGCTCTCCAACCTTCAGTATCTGTGAGCTCCTCCTCCTCCTCCTCCTCCTCCTCTTCCTCTTATTTTCTTCCCTTTTCTTTCCCTCCCTCTCCCCCTGTTACTGCAACTCCCTTGCTCACTCCATCCGCGCCTCTTACCACAGGGAATTAGAATTGACCGAATTACAGCTTCCTTGTGTCTGTGCCATGTGCGTGCGCAGAAACACGAACACTGATGAGCCAAGGCGGCAAGGCGTCTTGCCAGAGCGCATGTCAGAGCTTACAGCACTCACCAGCCTGTGAGTGGAATGGAGCGTGCCTGGCACTTGATTAGAGTATGGAACCGTGATAGAGTTATAGAGTGATGGCGTTGTGAGGAGGCCAGGGGACACTTTAGAGTATTGGAGGGACAACAACCAAGCAGCAGCGTGGAAGGACCCAACTTGGATTGTAAAGGCCAGCTCATGAGTGGAAAGGATTCTTTTTGCCAGGCTAGTCAGGGCTCATGGGAAAGATTCGTATGAGTGGAACGGATTGTTCTCTTTTCTGTTAGAATGCCTAGCTAAAAAATTATAAATCCTGGAAAAGAGTCATAGCCCAATGCAGCATTTGAAGTGTCATTCCTCGCTCAACCTCTCTTCTGCTGTTTTACCATCGGCGGCTGTGCCCGAATGCCAATGGTGGTGGGTACAGATCACTTGCGGGAAACAATCTGGAGGGCGGTCTTTTCAAGAGCTGGTCCACGCTGGTCAATCTGGAAGACCTGTGAGTCACAGATGCCGTGCTGCTGCTGCCATGCTGCCGTACTCAGTCTCTGCCATGCTGCGGTGTTGTGCTGTCGTGCTTGCCTTGTTTTCATGCTACCATACTTCCCTGCTCCCCTCCTCCCGTGCTGCCATGCTTGCCATGCCATGCGATTCTGGTCGTTACAGCTTGCCATACACAAGCTGACTGACTCGATTCTTGATGCAATCACTGCCTTTTGCTGACTTGCGTTTTCCCTGGCATACATGATTGCCCGCCTGAGCGCCTGAGAGCATCCATCCATCTGTCCTCACTCTGCCTCTCCTCTCCCCTACTGCAGCAATCTGTCCGACAACCACCTCCAGGGCGACATACCTGAAACCTTCTCTGCGCTCACAGCCCTCACTGCACTGTAATTGCTGCTCTCTTCGTGCATGCTTCTCTGCTCACCTGTTCTCCTCAGGCATGCCACCACATTCACTACTTCAGGTGGTCTCTGCTCGGTTGCATTGACTGGCTTGCTGAAAGAGAACTCTCAAAAGCGGCTCCCGTATAGCAAGTCCACGTAGCGGCAAGGTAAACCGGTATCCCCTAGGAGCTCTGCTCCTCTGCTCAGTTGCCCTGGCCTTCCCCTAAGAGCGTCCTCAGGAGGAGTGGTGACTTGCTGCAGGTGAACCACCCGCTCCTTCAGCAGGGAGACGTGGTGGTCAGGCCCGACAGATGGCTCTGGGGGTTTGTGTAGAATGGTAGCGTGGTTCACTTCCTGAGAGAGCTCCTCCGGCAGAATTCTCTGCCCAATAGGATCTGACATGAGAGCTACAGTCAAGCTCTTCGGTGCACCATCATTTCGCCTTACAGCATGGTCAGGCCCGGTGGCACGGTGTCACCGCCTTTGTGAGGTGGCAGATGGGGGTTGCTGTGTAGACTCGGCGCACGATTTTGTGAGATGGCAGCGGAGGAGGCCATATCTTCTGAGGTGCTTGGTGAGGTTGGTGAATTCTGCCATGTCCACCAGCAGGTGGGCCTATGATCCAATGCTGGTAGGGAGTATAAGGCAGCGGCAGTAGGGCGTATGAGAGCGTATGAGGCAGCAGTAGTAGGCCGTATGAAGGTGATATCATCCACGCTGGCCGTTCCCGTAGATGTTGGAGGACGATATCATGCTGGCAGTAGGGAGCCAACTGCTGCATCCACGATGGCGTAGATAGTTCTGAACGGCTGCTATTTTTGAACATTCTCAAATTATCCCATAGGTGGGGGGGTTTACGTAGCAGACCCCTGGGGAGGTGTCCCAGTGAATGGGAGGAAGAAGGAAGGAACGACGAGCTTGGAGAGGAGACACAGGGCTAGTTACATCTCTCCCTCGCTCTCTCTTTCGCTCTCCCCCCTCCTTCCTCTGTGCTGCCTTTGACAGCTACTCACTTCTTTTTGTGTTTATCCTTTGCCTTCATATTCCCTTGCAGAGATCTATCCTGGAATTATCTGTCGGGGGAAATACCCCAAGCATTCGCCAGCAACATTCAAACGTTGTGTGTATCTCCCACTCTCGTCACATGCCTCTGTTACATCCCTCCTCTCCCCTCCTTTCCAACTCCTCCCACCCTTCCTGTACAGCTGCTCTCGCTCTCACTCTTTCTTGCTTACTCCATCTTTCGTTGCTCTACTGCATGCATCTACTTGTGATGCCATCTGCAGTCCTTTCGTTCCAATTGCATCTCCGCATCTCTTCCTGCATGCCTTTGTTCGTCCTACTGCACCTTTGCACACCCTCGCGCACCCACCTGCTCGCTCTCACCCACCTGCTCGTTCCCCACCCACCTGCTCGCTCTCTCATGCAGGTCCCTAAGCTACAATGCCTTTGACGGTCGCATCCCACCACACCTCGCCTTGCCCAGCCTCATAGATCTGTGAGTGCTGCCATATCCCTGCCACATGACTCCCTGCCACATCCCTGCCACATGACTCCACCCCCACGCCCCCCACGCCCCACTCGCCCCACTCGCCTCACCATGTGTCATGCTGTGAGATCCTGTTCATCTTCATTAGTAACCCTCTCTTCATCCCCTCTTCGTCCTCTTTTTGTCCTGTCTCCATCCCTTCTTCGTCCTGTTTTTATCCTCACGCTTTTTGGTTAATTATAATTAATTATTGTCTTCTTTTCTTTTTTTAGATCATTATTATATACATCATTGTACCCCCTTTTCTCTTCATCCCCTCTTTATCCCTCGTCGATGGCACACTTCATCCGTTTGCCTTCCACACAGGGCTCTGAGCAGCAATCTCTTCACAGGAGCCATCCCCTCCACCTTCACATGCCTCACCGGCGTCAGTACTCTGTGCGTCCTCCGTCTGTCTATGCGTCCTCTGCCTGTCAGTACGTCATCTCCTCTGCATGTCTACACGGCAAATGGCATGCCTCTCCCATATAGATTTGCCGGATTGCCTGGCCATTGGCCATATTTTTGCTCCATCCTTTGTTCGCTCAGCGATCCAGAAGATTTTAAGAGATGCAGGTCATATCCCCATCTAATATATTCCCCTTTGAATGGTGTTCCATGGAAGAGAGTTTGTTGTATCTCTGTGTCACGCTTTTTCGTTCCACACATCACCATCTCAAAACCTTGTTCTTCTCGTCAACCTTCAACAACCCATGCCCCATTTGTCCTCATCACACCACCACACTACGCGTTCCACAACCCATGCCACACTCCTCGTTACACCTCACTGCACCGCAATCAACAAAATTGCACCATACCACGCCACCTCCAAAACCCAGGTCTTTGACCAACAACAGTCTCAGCGAAGGACTGGAAGTGCTCGCTCAAATGACATGGCTTACAGACATGTGAGTGGTCCTGTGTGCCCACAGTTCTGTGTTCTTTTCTTTTTCCTCTTCGCTCATCGTGCCGGCCATGTGCCTTGCTACTCTTCTCACACCTTATCGCTTTCACCCCTTCGTTGCGTCCCTACGCCATCCAAACCACGCTCTCCTGCCCAACTTGTGCGACAGATTCCTTGACAGTAACAACTTCTCGGGTGTTTTTCCAATGTCCTTCACGGCTTTTGAAAACCTCTTATACATGTAAAGCGTTCCCTTCCTGTCCATCTGTGTGCTGTCCCTCGTGGGCGTTGTTCGTTGTCTTTGCTGCATCTCGGTTTTGCAGCTCTTGTGTGCTGCTCGTCATATGCTGCTGTCTGTGTATGCTGTCGTGGGTGCTGCTCTTTATGTGTGCTGATCTTTGCATGTACGGCTCGGTGTGCATGCTCCTTCTCGTGTGTGCTACTCGTTCTGTGTGCTGCTCTTTGTGTGTGCTGCTGCTCTGTGTGTGTTCTACTCTTCCTGTGCACACATGCGTGCATTTCCAATCAACCATCTTCACA